ATTTGTATACTAATATAATTTTACAACCTAATTTGATTCGTAAAAGGTGAGTTATACAGGCCGGATAGAAGTCGGCGGTCGTCAAACGGTGGACAGCGTCGTATTCGATCTACTCTTATTTGATTAATATGTACTACAGAATATTTTATGAATTTAAATGGGATTATAATGGTAATATTTTGAAATGACATCATCAAATCGTTGGTGGGGATGCAAAAATTTTCTGATTGGTATTAAAGTTTCAAAGGCAGTCAAATTTTGTTTTTTTTTTCTAAAAAAACTATTTTAACTAGCGAGTTATCAAATTTAATATTTCGAAAAATCTGGATTTATTTAACTTCGACCAAGTTTTTGACAGCACAATTTTAGTTTTTTTAATTTCTTTAATTTTTCAATTTTGGGTTTGCTTTATTTTTTCAATGTTTCGGTTTCATAATTTTTCGCTTCCTCAAGCGTAATTTTTAAATTTTTCAATTTCTCGACTTCAAAATTTTTCAATTTCATGATTTTAATTTTTCATTTTTCCGAATTTTAATTTTCATTTTCTTGATTTTATTTAAAAGTGTTAGTTTTTTCATTTTCTCGAATTTTTCTATTTTTCCATTTTTCAATGTTTCGGTTTCATAATTTTTCGTTTGTTCAATGTTTCGATATTAAAATTTATCATTTTTCGATTTTTCAAATTTTCTGCTTTTTATTTTTCATCTTCACGATTTTTGAATCATTTTCCCGATTTTATTACAACATTTTTGTTTTTTCATTTCCATTATTTTTTCAATTTTTCGGTTTGCAATTTTTTGAAATCACAATTTTTAATTTTTCGATTTTTCAATTTTTGGTTTCCTTTATTTTCTCAATGTTTCGTTCCTTTTTCTAATTTTTCGTTTTTTAACCTTCATTTTTAAAATCAATAAAAAAAATAAATTTTTTGCCTTCTATATTTTTCAATTTCTTGATTTTTATTTTTTATTTTCTCGATTTTTTAATTTTCATTTTCTTCATTTTCTTATATTTTTCTATTTTTCCATTTTTCAATGTTTGGGTTTCATAATTTTTCGTTTGTTCAATGTTTCGATATTTTATCATTTTTCGATTTTTCAAATTTTCTGATTTTTATTTTTCATCTTCACGATTTTTGAATCATTTTCCCGATTTTATTACAACATTTTTGTTTTTTCATTTCCATTATTTTTTCAATGCTTGTTTCCTTTTTATAATTTTTCGTTTTTTCATTTTCTTTATGTTTCAATTTTTCGGTTTGCAATTTTTTGAAATCACAATTTTTAATTTTAGAATTTTTCAATTTTTGGTTTCCTTTATTTTCTCAATGTTTCGTTCCTTTTTCTAATTTTTCGTTTTTTAACCTTAATTTTTAAAATCAATAAAAAAAAGAAATTTTTTGACTTCTATATTTTTCAATTTCTTGATTTTTATTTTTTATTTTCCCGATTTTTTAATTTTCATTTTCTTCATTTTCTTATATTTTTCCATTTTTCAATGTTTCGCTTTCATTATTTTTTTGTTTTCTCAAGTTTAATTTTTAAAATTTTTCAATGTCCCCAGTTATCAATTTTTCGTAATAAAGTGTATAATTTTTTTTAGTTTAATTTTCATTTTCTCGATTTTATTTCAAAAAATTTTTATCTGTTTCTTCATTTTCTTTAATTTTTCTATTTTTCCATTTTTCAATGTTTTTGTTTTATAATTTTTTGTTTTTTCAAGTTTAATATGTATTTAAAATTTTTCAATTTCTCCAGTTCTATATTTTTCGATTTTTCGCTTAATCAATTATTATTGTTAATAAATAAATGACAATATTAAAATTTTTCCTTTCTCGATTTTTCAATTTACTGATTCTTGTTTTTCATTTTCCGGATTTTTTAATTATTTTGTCGATTTTATAACAAAATTTTTGCTTTTTCGTTTCCATTATTTTTTCAATGCTTGTTTCCTTTTTATAAATTTTTGTTTTTTCATTTTCTTTAATTTCTAAATTTTTCCATTTTTCTCGATTTTTCAAGTTTTTGATTTTTATTTTCTCCAGATTTTTCAGTTTTCATTTTTTGGTTTTTTCATTTTTGATATTTCAGTTTTAGAATTTTGTAATTTTTGCATTTGTTGTTTTAAAAAAATTCTGAAAAATCGAAAAATTTTAAATCTAAAAATTAAAAAATCCGTAAAAATTTAAAAATCCAAAAACTGAAAAACCCAAAGACTGCAAAATTGAAAAAATGAAAAATCGAAAAGTTCCAAATCGAAGAACTCAGAAAACGAAAAACCAAAACATTGAAACGCTAAAAGTCGAGAAACTTAAAAATCGAAAAAATTGAATCCAAAAATCCTAAAATCACAAAATTGAAAATGTGAAAGATTTTAAAAATTAGAAATATTAAATTTCCAAATCACACATTGAAGAAACGAAAAAATAAAAAAAACCTACACGAAAAATTGCAAATCGAAAAATTAAGGAAATGAAAAACTGAAAAACTAAAAAATTTAAAAATGAAAATGAGTTGCAAAATTGAAGAACAAAAAAAGCAAAATTGAAGAAATGAAAAATTGAAAAAACACAAAATTATAGAACCCGAACAATGAAAAATCGAAATATTGAAAAAATAAAGTAAATAAAAGCCAGAAACGAAAAATTGGAAGTCGAAAATTTGAAGAAATGAAAAATTAAAGAATTGAAAAATTGAGAACCCGTGAAATTTTAAGATGAAAAGTGGAAAAATTTAAAAATTGAAAAAAAAAGAAAATTAGAAAATCGAAACATGGAAAATCAAATAATTGAAAAAAATAATGAAAATAAAAAACCGAAACGAAAAACTGCAAATCGAAAGACTGCAAAAATAAAAATTGAAAACTTTAGAAGCTTTAAAAATTAAGAATTGTGATTTAGAAATTTAAATTATTACATTTCCAAATCACAAACTGAAGAAACGAAAAATTAAAAAATCGAGAAGCTGAAGAATTTTAAATTGAAAAAACGAAAAAATACAAAATCTGAAAGCGAAAAACCGAAAGAGTCAAAACCGAAAAATTGAAAGTCAAAAGCTTAGAAAAAAAATTACAATGAAAAAAGAAACATTGGTAATTGTGAAATTGCACATCGAAAAATTACAAAATCTAAAAATTGAAAAAACTAAAGAAAATGAAAAGCCGAAACGAAAAATTGCAAATAGAAAAAGTGCTAAATCTAAACCTTCGGAAAATCGAAAAATTAAAAACTGAAAACTCGAAGAGTTGCATATCGTAAAATTGAAGAAACAAAGAAAATGAAAAACTGAAGAAACCAAAAATTGGAAACATTGAAATTGAGAAAACAAAAATTTATAGAACCGGAACATTGAAAAATTTAAAAATTGAAGACAAAAAAACGAAGACATGAGACATCGCAGACCGAAATATGGAAAATATAAAGAAAATAAACCGAAACAAAAAACTGGAAATTCCAGAACCTTACATCGAAAAATCACAAAATCTAAAAGCTGAGAAATTCAAAAACCAAAAATTTGAAAAAATAAAAAAAGACCCAAACGAAAAATTGAAGAAATGAAAAATCCAAAAATTGAAAAATTTTACATAGATTATAAAATTAGAAGGCTGAAAAACCGAAAAACTAAAAAAATAAAGGAAATAAAAACCTGAAAATTTGAAAAATCTAAAAATTGAAGAAAAAAGAATTATGAAATATAAAACAAAGGTTGAAAAATCGAAAATTTTGAAGAATTTAAGAATTGAAGAAACGAAAAATAAATACAAAAATGCAAAGATTGAAAAATCAAAAAAATTTAAACCGAAAACTCTAAAAACTGCAAATTCAAAAATTGAAAACTTCAGAAATTCAAATCGAAAAATTGCCAAATCTAAAAATTGAAAAATTCAAAAATTGGTTCTGAAAATTAGAAAAATTGCAAACTGAATAATTGAACGAACCAAAAACTGGAGGATCGAAAAATGAAAACATCGAACAATTGACGAAAGTAGAAACTGAGAGGTCGAAAAATTGTAAAATCTAAATGTGAAGAAAGTAAAAATTATACATCAAAAATTAAAAATTCGAAAATGGAAAAATTAAAACTTGAAAACTCGAAAAGCTGAAGTTACTAAAACCCGAAATTTTGAAAAGAAACAAAAAATTAGAAAATAAAAAACAGGTTGAAAAATAAAAAAAGTTAAATTATAAAACTAAAAAAAAAAAAAAAAAAAATGAAAATCCAAAAAAAACATAATTTGAAAAATTCAAGAACTGGAGAAAGGAAAAATAAATAAGTACAAAAATTCAACGGTTGAAAAATAAAAAAATAAAAAATGGAATAAATGAAACATTAAAACTCGAAAAAGTGAAGACACAAAAACCTGAAAATTTGAAAAATCTAAAAATTGAAGAAACAAAGTTGAAAAATAAAGAAATAAATAAATTGGAAACTAGAAAATTTGAAGAACTTAAGAAATGAAAAAACGAAACATAAATAAATACAAAAATTCAAAGGTTGAAATTAAAAAAAATTTAGGAGAAACAATATTTTGCGCATTTTGGATAGGATTGACGTATCAAAATTTTTAGATGACGTGAAATTTTAAGCTCGTGATTAGACAGCTACAAGTTTCAACGACCTCAATTAAATTTAAAATGTTGAGGATCTTTATCGGGACGTTCTTGAGCATTATAGCGCTAAACGAAGGCCGTAAAACCGTATTAGTACACATTTTTTTAGTAAATGAGTAAACTTAAAATAGAAAAAGTTTGAAAAGAACGGAAAAAGAGAACTTACTTTCATTCCGTCAAGGCCGGGCGGACCCTGTGAAGAAAAATAATTGAAACAAAAATGGAAAAAAGTAAGAAATAACACAAACAAATGTTAATGAATGAATGCACCTAATGCACAAGATGCATCGTGTTATCAACATGCACTGCATTTCCTCATCTTTTGACAATTCTTCCTGCTCAAAAATCTCAGTAGGGGTAGGAGAAGCTTAAAGCTCATTTAATAATTACAGCACATGCACATACATTTATTTCGTACATGTTATCGTTTACAGAAGCTTATTTAGTTAACCTAAAAATATTAAAAGTAAAATATCTTACAGGTTTTCGGTTTTACAAACCCTAATCTAGTATCAGTCACGTAATATTTGTGTTTTTCTTTTCTTAGTTACAAACTACTACTATAAGACACCTATAAAAATGTAACACTTATATTACAACACATTCTCAACTTATAAATTAATGGTCTTGCAAAACTTTTTACAAATGTATCAATAAATATATAAAAATCGATCTTCACTGTCTAGGTTCTTTATCAATACACTCCTATATCAATTGACAAGTCTGTAAAGGTGGAGGTTAAGTACTAAATGGACGTAAAACGGTTTGTCGACGCCTAACAGGCTTCTGGATGAGTCGGAAGTCGCAATCTCGTTGCGACCTTTTGATATACAGCGTAAATACAGCATAAATACAAACATTTCTCTTTAATCCTATTTAGAATATCATCTCCCAACGCATACAGGGTGTTCGCGGACACCCTGCATGCCGACGTTTGGCAGTATCTTCACGATCCGGGGAATCACCAGTTATTGTCCTCCTAAACCAATTTTATACAAACAATATAAAAGAAAAATCGACCATCGACCATCGACAATCACTTAACAAAATTTTCGTCAATCGGGTTAATTTGTTAAGTCACTGCACGCCGTTTAATCCTAGTTATAGAATGGTTTCCTTACCATGGGCCCTGGTTTGCCATAGTCACCCGGACGACCACTTTCCCCCCTTAGACCCATGGGACCCTATTAAAAACCAACCATCACTATCTATCCGTCACCCGAAACGTCGACTTCGAGTCGACCCACCTCGAAGTCGACGTTCTTGGCGCGACTACGTCACGCAGCAGTCGAAAACCAAGGTTTCAAACTTACAGGTAGGCCCATCGGTCCCGGATCTCCTTTTGCGCCCTTCTCGCCCTACACAACTCCGTTAGATTGTTAAACTAGGTCGTCGACGATACTTACGGGTTCGCCCTTTATCCCGTCCATCCCTCTGTCGCCTTTAATTCCCGGAGGACCCTGCAACCCGTTCTGGCCGGGCGGTCCCGGAGGTCCCGGCGGACCCATGACCACCTCGCCCGTCGTCACCTCCCCAGTACCGTCACCCTGGAACAGTATAGAGCACGGCCCAAAAGTAATCGTTTTCACCTCGCCTTTCGTCAGCCAACTTTCGAAAAACCAAGCAAGGAAGTAAAAAGTGTGGATATTTACCTGTCTCCGTCGCAGCTTTTTGTATTTCTGTGGTGGGAGGAAACGCCGAAAAAGAAAAGTCGCATTAGAACAAACATTCAGAAGCTAATTTTCGTAAAAATGGATGCAGAGCGAAGAGAAGTGGGGGGATTTCGGGACACTTACTGATTCGCCTTTTTCGCCCTTCTCGCCCTTCTGGCCGGGGTAGCCGGGCGGGCCGGGGAGCCCCGGCGGGCCCATGAGACCCGGCGGCCCGATGTCGCCGTACTCGCCCTTCTCGCCCTTGGGACCGACTTGGCCCTGAAATAGCACGATTTTAGTGTTGGGCGTGGTTTGAGGGGCGTCAGTACCGGAAGACCTGGCGGACCTTGGGGTCCTGGTTCCCCGTTGAGACCGGACTCGCCTGGGGTACCCATCAAGCCCATGTCGCCCTTGGGACCTACACACGACTCGATTAGTGTCGAAGCAACGAAACCGTGAATTTAGGGTTAGTACAGTTGTGTTATTATTTGTACCTGGAAGGCCTGGAAAGCCTGCAAACCCTTTATCCCCCCTGGGCCCTGGGTCACCCGCGTCCCCTTTAGGGCCTGGCAGGCCCTTTGCTAGCACATCTCCATCTCGTCCCTAAACACACCAAACCACAAATCAGCTTCACGTTCACGCCCTAACGACTTCCATTTTTCGAAAAAAAAAAAAAAAAACCGTTTTTTGAAAAATCAAAACCCATGCATGACTCAAATAAGACAACAAAATAACGAAAAATATACAGATACTTACGATAAGCCGCTTCAGACCAGTGAGATTAGTCGTGTTAATCAGCTATTAGTGCCTAAACTACTGAAACTAAAAAGTGATATAATTAAAAATAAAAGAATCATTAAAAAAGGAAAACCATTAGAAACCTACAACAAAATGAAACCAAATCCAGAAAGCCATGCAAAAACCATTCCCATGCGATGGACCCCGCCCCCTCCGCATGCCCCGCTCACGCCAAAAATATGAAGCTATGCATGAAATGTGGTCTGGTTAGATGATCAATGTCATGAAACGTTAATTTTATCCCAAAGGTGGTGTCATGACATTGTGACAGAGACAGAGATAGCCAGGTCGGTACTTTACCCGTTTTCCTCGCCGGCCGCGGGCGCCCTTCTCCCCGGGCGCGCCAGGAGGGCCCATGGGTCCGGCTTCGCCCTTTTCACCTTGTCAAAGTCGGATAAAGGTTATACAGTTTTTGGGAAAAAGTTGGATAATTACCAGGGGGTCCGGGGGGGCCCGGAGGCCCTTCGACCAGTCCGGTGGGGAAGTCGCCGCTGAGGGTGGTCGTGAGGCCGCGCTCGCCTTTGTCGCCCTTGTCGCCCTATAACATGACGGGTGATGAATTGATGGGTTTTTGCGGGTTTTGGGGTTAGGGTTAGTGATGAGTGGTGAAAGTTAGCGGAACACGAAAGTTGGTCGGGGGTTATTAAGACGGAACTTCCCTCGTCTTCAAATTTATAATTTTTTGTTTCCTCCATTTTTGGATTTTGTAATTTTCATTTTAAATTTCTCGAGTTTTAAATTTTTGCGATTATTTAATGTTTAATTTTTTCGATTTTTCAGTTCTGATTTTATAATTCCCCTTTTTTTGCATGTGAAATTGTTTCATTTTTGGATTTTTCAGATGCATGATTTTTCAATTTTCTGCTATGCAATTTTTCTAGTTTTCCTTTTAAATATGTGTTAATAACAATTATCAATTCTAAAATTTTTCACTTTTTTATTATTCGACTTTCCAATTTTTCGATTTTTAATTTTTCTATTTTCGATTCTTCAATTTTTCATTTCTTCAAATTTTCGCTCTGCCATTTTCATTTTTTCTATTTTTATGTAATTATTTTATAATTTTTTTTCAATGATTTTTCATTTGTTTAGAATTTTTTCATTTTTCCATTACATATTGGATTTTATTTTTTTTTTTTTATTAATTCAATATTTCGATATTTCACTATTCCCGTTTTTCGTTTTACAATTTTTCTAGTTTTTAGATTGGAATTTTTAGATTTTTCAAATTCTGAATCTTTTGTTTGTTTAATTTTTCATTTCCTCAATTTTTCGGTTTTTCAACTTTTGTATTTTTGGATGCTTCTGTTCGAATTTGGAGTCTCTCGATTTTTAATTTTTCGCTTTTTCAATGTTTCCGAGTTCTTTGATTCTTAAATTTTTTACAGCAATTTTTTAATTTTTGTTTTTTCATTTTCAATTTTTCAGTTTTTCGATTTTCGAACTTTTGGATGTTTCAATTTTTATATTTTGCAACTTTCCGATTTGCAGTTTCACGAGTTTTCAATTTTTTATTTTTCGATTTTTCAGTTTTTCATTTCTTCAATTTTTCGGTTTGCAATTTTTTCGTTTCGGTTCTTTATTTTCATTATTTTTCAAATTTCTCGGTATTTCAATGTTCTGACAATTTTTCCATTTTTCAATGTTAAATTTTTCAATAGTTAGATTTTTGACTGTTTAGATTTTATAATTTTTCGTATTTGAATTTTAGATTTTTCAGCTCCTCGATTTTGCAATTTTTCTTTTTTTCAATTTTTTCCAGTTTTTATTTTAAATATATGATTTTGAAAATGTTTCACTTTTTCGATTTTAAAACTTTCATTTTTTTCGACTTTTAATGTTTCGATTTTTAATTTTTCTTTTATTGAATTTTCAAAATTTTCTAATTATTCGATTTTTCAATTTTCGACCTTTCCCTATTCCAGTTTTTCGCCTTGCAATTTTAATAGTTTTCAAATTGGAATTTTTAGATTTTTCAAATTCTGAATTTTTGTTTGTTTAATTTTTCAATTCCTCAATTTTTCGGTTTTTCAACTTTTGTATTTTTCGATGCTTCTGTTCGAATTTGCAGTCTCTCGATTTATAATTTTTCGCTTTTTCAATGTTTCCGAGTTCTTTGATTCTTAAATTTTTTACAGCAATTTTTTAATTTTTGTTTTTTCATTTTCAATTTTTCAGTTTTTCGATTTTCGAACTTTTGGATGTTTCAATTTTTAGATTTTGCAACTTCCCGATTTGCAATTTCACGAGTTTTCAATTTTTTATTTTTCGATTTTTCAGTTTTTCATTTCTTCAATTTTTCGATTTGCAATTTTTTCGTTTCGGTTTTTTATTTTCATTATTTTTTAAATCTCTCGGTATTTCAATGTTCTGACAATTTTTCCATTTTTCAGTGTTAAATTTTCAATAGTTAGATTTTTCACTGTTTAGATTTTATAATTTTTCGTTTTTGAATTTTAGATTTTTCAGCTCCTCGATTTTGCAATTTTTCTTTTTTTCAATTTTTTCCAGTTTTTATTTTAAATATATGATTTTGAAAATATTTCACTTTTTCGATTTTAAAACTTTAATTTTTTTCGACTTTTAATGTATCGATTTTTAATTTTTCTTTTATTGGATTTTCAAAATTTTCTAATTATTCGACTTTTTAATTTTCGACCTTTCTCTATTCCAGTTTTTCGCCTTGCAATTTTTAAAGTTTTCAAATTGGAATTTTTAGATTTTTCAAATTCTGAATTTTTTGTTTGTTTAATTTTTCAATTCCTCAATTTTTCGGTTTTTCAACTTTTCTATTTTTCGATGCTTCTGTTCGAATTTGGAGTCTCTCGATTTTTAATTTTTCGCTTTTTCAATGTTTCCGAGTTCTTCGATTGTTACATTTTTTACAGCAATTTTTTAATTTTTGTTTTTTCATTTTTAATTTTTCAGTTTTTCGATTTTCGAACTTTTGGATGTTTCAATTTTTATATTTTGCAACTTTCCGATTTGCAGTTTCACGAGTTTTCAATTTTTTATTTCTCGATTTTTCAGTTATTAATTTCTTCAATTTTCAATTTTTTCGTTTCGGTTTTTTATTTTCATTATTTTTTAAATCTCTCGGTATTTCAATGTTCTGATAATTTTTCCATTTTTCAATAGTTAGATTTTTCACCGTTTAGATTTTATGATTTTTCGTTTTTGAATTTTAGCTTTTTCAGCTCCTTGATTTTTCAATTTTTTCTAGTCTTTATTTTAAATACATGATTTTGAAAATTTTTCACTTTTTCGATTTTTAATTTTTCTTTTATTGGATTTTCAAATTTTCGAATTATTCGACTTTTCTATTTTTGACCTTTCTCTATTCCAGTTTTTCGCCTTGCAATTTTTCTAGTTTTCAAATCAGAATTTTTAAATTTTTGAAATTCTGAATTTTTTGATTTTTCAATTTTTCGATCCTTTTTTTCAATTTTGGAGTCTTTGGATTTTCATTTCAATCTTTCATTTTTTCTACTTTTTCATTCAATTATACTAATTTTGAACTTTTCATTTTTCCGATGTCGAATTTTTCATTTTTTCTTTTCTTCAATTTTTCGAGTTTTTAATTTTCGATTTTTTTCATTTATTAATCTTCGTTTCTTCAATTTTTCGATCTTCCAGATTATTTCCAGTTCTTAGAGTTTTCAATTTTGATTTTTTGATTTTTTTTCTCTATTGATTTTTTGTTTCTTCAATTTTTACCTTCTTCAAACTGTCGATTTTTCAGTTTTTTGTTTGGGTTCGCAATTTTTTTAGTTTGAAACGTAAAATTTTTTGGTTTTTCATCTTTACTTTTTTATTTTTAATTTTTAGGTACTTCAATTTTTTATTTTTTCATTTTTCGAGTTCTCATTTCTAGTTTCTCGAATTACTCGATTTGCAGTTTTCTAGTTTTCTATTCCGAATTTTGGAATTTTTTGATTTTTAAATTTTTCATTTCCTCGATTTTTCCATTTTTCAACTTTTGTATTTTTCGATAGTTCTTTTCGATTTCTAACTTTTCGGTTTTTCAATAAAATTTTTTATTTCTTCTATTTATCATTCACTTGTTCTAATTTTGTATTTAACACATGATGTGTCAACTTTTAACTTTTCATTTCTTCGGCTTCAATTTTCCGATGTTGACTTTTTCTATTTTTTTTTTAATTTCTTCAATTATTTGGTTTGTTATTTTTCGAGTTTTTTATTTATTTTTTTTGTTTCTTCAATTTTAACATTCTTCAAGTATTCCATTTTTCAGTTTTTTGTTTGGATTTGCAATTTTTCTATTAAACTTCAATTTTTTTGGTTTTTCATCTTTTACTTTTAATTTTTTGATGTTTCAAAATAAACAAATCTAAAAATGTATTTAATTGTTCTAGTTTTCAATTTCAAATTTTTGGTTTTATGAAAATTTTGAATTTTTGATTCTTTAATTTTTCATTTCCCCGATTTTTCCATTTTCAACTTTTGTATTCTTCGATAGTTCTTTTCGATTTCTAACTTTTCGGTTTTTCAATATTTCTCAGTTCTTTAATTCCTCATTTTTTTATTGCAATTTTACGTTTCATTTTTCAATGTTTTCGAGTTTTCATTTTTAAATTTTTCAGTTTTTGGATTTTTGAACTTTTGAATGTTTTAATTTTTAGATTTTGCAATTTTTCGATTTGCAATTTTACGAGTTTACAATTTTCAATTTTTGATTTCTAAATTTTTCATTTCTTCAATTTTTTGGTTTCCAGTTTTTTTGTTGCGGTTTTTTATTTTCAATTTCTTCAATTTTTGCTGTGCAATTTTCTTGTCATTTGTCATTTTAAATATGTAATAATAATTATTTTGAAATATTTTCACTTGTTCCATTTTTTTCAATTATTCGAGCATTCAATATTACAGTTTTTTGATTTTACAATTTTGACGAAGCTAAATTTTTCGATTTTTTATTATTCAATGTTTCAATTTTTCGTTTCTTCAGTTCGATTTGCAATTTACACTTTTTCGATACTTAATTTTTCGATTTTTCAACTTATCGAATTAGAAAATGGAAAAATTGCAAAAGTGTAAAACTGAAAGATCGAAAAAGAAAAACTGAAAAATTATAAAATGAAACATTGGAATATCTAATGAAGAACTTGGAAACTGGAGAAATCGGAAAATCAGATAACTGAGAAATCCAAAAATTGCAGAACTGAAAAATTTAATAATTTGGAAGTAGAGGAATTGAATCAAAAATTCAAAATTTTGAAAACTGAATAAACGAAAAATGATAAAATCGAAAGAAACATTGAGGAAATAAAGGGAGGAAAAAACGACAAATTGTGATATAAAATCGAGAAAATGAAAAATAAAAATCAAGAACTGGAAAAACCGAGGAAACGAAAAATTGAAAAATCGAAATATGTAAAACTGAAAAATAAAAAAAATAAAAACTAATGAGTTTTCTCCAAAAATCTGGATGTCTGGAGCGAAAACTCAACACGGATTCATACACCACAATTATTATTATCTCATTTTACGAAATTAAAAGCAATTTTACAAACAGATGACAGACAGACGGAAACGGGGGACCACTTTTTTCGTACTCTAGGGGTCATGAAACGTCGAGAAAACAGAAGTGACAAGTCGCCCGATGGCCTCGATTAGCACAGAGAGTGAATTCCACTTACGCGTTGTCCTTTCGTTCCATTTCGGCCCGGTATGCCCTATTAAACAAAAAGTGGGGGATGGGCTGTGATTGGTGGAGGGTCACGTGTCGTCGCCGCCCTATTTCAACCAATCAAACTTACAACAAAAATGATCCATTACACAATTAGTCTTGCCGCCACTTCCCATAATTAAAAACTAATTAGTAATTACTCATTTAATGTGGCATGATTTATGGACGCGCTCTAGATAAATTAAATAAGTGTGACGGCAGAAATAGGGCGACAACCTATAACGGGATTCTCACAGGCAAGCCCATGTGTCCTGGTAGTCCCGGGAATCCTGGGGCTCCCATCATGCCAATTACCCCCCTGTCCCCCTAAGCGACACGAACGAGATGAGGTGATAACACATGAGACATGAATAAATTAAGAAACGGATGCCACATACCTTAGGACCTTGAAGACCGTCGAGTCCTGGGGGTCCCACGGGACCCATGGGTCCCGGCTCGCCCTTGTCTCCCGGCGGTCCCGGTTCTCCTGGCATTCCTTGCCTGCCGTCGTGGCCGGGGAGTCCCTCTGAACCGGGCGGTCCTGGAGGACCTGGGGGGCCGGGTTCGCCGGGTTCACCCTAGCGGAACACACGCTTAGTAGTAAAGGTGGTAAAGAAACCAGACGCGAGATGGCAAAGGGTACGACTACTGGCTACAAGAGGGCGCTACAGAAACGTCTAGCTAACTACTGACTTACTTTGAAATCGTCAGGTGGGGGTTTGGGTGAAAGAAACGATTGCCTGTGACTGCGTGTGCAAAAAGTACCGGGAGTGTGGCTGGTTAGTCAGTTTTAAAGTGAGAACGGAAGGTGTAACTGATCTAGGGTGCCTTGACGAATTTAAGAGTGGGGATACGAAATGACAACTTCGATGTCAAAATAATTTGGGTTATGTCATAGTTGTCAAATTTCTTAAGTATTTTAAAAATTGAAGTCTTTTTTTGTCGTTAATTTCCGTTTTTTTTTCTTGTTTTGTCTTTTTTGGTCGTTTTTGTGACCTTTTCTCTTTGTAGAACTTATTTAGTGGAAATTTTGAAACAAAATTCAAAAAAAAAAATTGCAAGTCAAAATCATCAATGATAATCGAAGTATTCTGTTAAACAAATTCAAATTTTTTTAATTTCCCAAAATTGTCTTATTTGCTTCATTTTAGAGTTTTTGGAAACATGGAATGGATGAAATTTGGAGGAAATTAAACCCCAAAAAAATTCTGGGAATCGAAATAAGCAAAAGAATTGTATTTTTTCATTCAATTGTTCTAATTTTGATTTTAACGTGTCCACTGTTCAATTTTCCAAAATTAATTTTTCGATTTTTTAGCTTTCATTTCGTCGGTTTTTTCATTTCGCAATTTTTCGAATTTTCAATTTTCCGAAGTTGAATTTTTGAATTTTCTCATTTCTGCGATTTTTCGGTTTGCTATTTTTCGATTTTATTTATTTACTCATTTTTTCTTTGAATTTCTCATTTTTGTAGTTTGTAACTTCAAATTTTTCTAGATTTTTTAATTTATCGAACTTTCAGTTTCTATTTTCTTCAATTTTTCGATATGCAATTTTCACATTTTCAGTTTCCAATTTTTAGATTTATTGATTTTCAGTTTTCCACTTCCTCGAATTGTCGATTTTTCAACTTCTGTATTTTTCGATGCCCCTTTTTTTAATTTAAATTTTTAAAATTTCCCAAAAGAATTAGTGATTTCGAAAAATGTTATAGTCCCTAACCAAGATTTTCCAAATATTCTGTTTCAAATTCAGGTTTTCAACATATTCCAAAAATTGCCTTATATCATTTTGGAGCTTCTTAAAAAAACGGCAAGAATTTTCGAAGAAAATAAACCCCAACAAAAATCGAAATTTCTGCTGATTTCGATTTTTTTCAAAATCTGGAAATTTCAATGTTTCCAATTTAATTTTTTTTTTCAACTTTTCGAATGTCCAATCTCTTTATTTCACGAATTTTGGATTTTTCGATTTTTCGCTTTCTCGGTTTTTGGATTTGCCGATTTTTGGCTTCTCGATTTTCAGAATTTTTGATTTCTCAATTTCTGTATTCTCGATTTTTCGATTTCTTGACTTTTCTTTTATTCTTTAAATTTTGAAATGTTCGACTTTTGTATTTTTCTCGATTTTTCGACTTCCCAATTTTTCAATTTCTCGTTTTTTTACAGCGAATTTTGAATTCTTCTATTTCTCAATTTTCAGATTTTCCGATTTTTCGACTTGAAGTTTCGGTTTTTGGATTTTCTTGATTTTTCAACTTTTCGACTTTTCAATGGAAATTCTGATTTTTCGAATTTTGGAATTTTTCGGTTTTTCACTTTTCGAATTTTCGGTTTTTGGATGTTTCAATTTTACAATTTCTCGATTTCAATTTGTCAATTTGTCGATTTTTGACTTTTAGAGTTTTCTATTTTTGGATTTTTCGGCTTTTCGAGTTCTTGATTTTTTCGATTTTTCTATCTTTCAACATTTTAAAACTCTGATTTGTTGATTTTTCGACTTCTTGATTTTTAGATTGTTCAATTTCTTCATTTTTAAACTTTTCGATTTTTCAAAATTTGGAAAATTAAAATTTTCGAGTTTTTTATTTTTAATTTTTCGATTTATTTACTTTTCGATTTCTCGGTTTTTGGATTTGCCGATTTTTGGCTTCTCGAATTTCAGAATTTTTGATTTCTCAATTTCTGTATTCTCGATTTTTCGATTTCTTGACTTTTCTTTTATTCTTTAAATTTTGAAATGTTCGACTTTTTTGTTTCTCTCGATTTTACGACTTCCCAATTTTTCAATTTCTCGTTTTTTTACAGCGAATTTTGGATTCTTCTATTTCTCAATTTTCAGATTTTCCGATTTTTCGACTTGAAGTTTCGGTTTTTGGATTTTCTTGATTTTTCAACTTTTCGATTTTTTGACCCTTCGAATTTTCGGTTTTTGGATTTTTCAATTTTACAATTTCTCAATTTCAATTTTTCAATGTTTGGATTTTTCGATTTTTCAAGTTCTCGAATTTTCGACTTTCATTCTTTAAATTTTTAAATTTTCGACTTTTTGATTTCCCAATTTCCAGATTTTTGCATTTTTTTTATTCTTCAACTTTTCAACTTTTCGAATGTCCGATGTCTTGATTTTTCGATTTTTTGACATTTCAAATTCTCGATTTCACTTTTTCAATTTCTGAAGTTTCAGATTTTCTAATTTTTCGACTTCAATTTTCGGTTTTTGGATTTTCTTGATTTTTCAACTTTTCGACTTTTCAATGTTTGGAAATTCTGATTTTTCGAATTTTGGAATATTTCGGTTTTTTCACTTTTCGAATTTTCGGTTTTTGGATGTTTCAATTTACAATTTCTCGATTTCAATTTGTCAATTTGTCGATTTTTGACTTTTAGAGTTTTCTATTTTTGGATTTTTCGGCTTTTCGAGTTCTTGATTTTTTCGATTTTTCTATCTTTCAACATTTTAAAACTCTGATTTGTTGATTTTTCGACTTCTTGATTTTTAGATTGTTCAATTTCTTCATTTTTAATTTTTCGATTTATTTACTTTTCGATTTCTCGATTTTTGGATTTGCCGATTTTTGGCTTCTCGATTTTCAGAATTTTTGATTTCTCAATTTCTGTATTCTCGATTTTTCGATTTCTTGACTTTTCTTTTATTCTTTAAATTTTGAAATGTTCGACTTTTTTGTTTCTCTCGATTTTACGACTTCCCAATTTTTCAATTTCTCTTTTTTTTACAGCGAATTTTGAATTCTTCTATTTCTCAATTTTCAGATTTTCCGATTTTTCGACTTGGAAGTTTCGGTTTTTGGATTTTCTTGATTTTTCAACTTTTCGATTTTTTGACACTTCGAATTTTCGGTTTCTGGATTTTTCAATTTTACAATTTCTCAATGTTTGGATTTTTCGATATTTCAAGTTCTCGAATTTTCGACTTTCATTCTTTAAATTTTTAAATTTTCGACTTTTTGATTTTCCAATTTCCAGATTTTTGCATTTTTTTTTATTCTTCAACTTTTCGATTTTTCTTCCTTTCAATTTTACAATTTCTCAATTTCAATTTTTCAATGTTTAGATTTTTAGATTTTTCAAGTTCTCGAATTTTCGACTTTCATTCTTTAAATTTTGAAATTTTCGACTTTTTGATTTCCCAATTGACAGATTTTTTTGCATTTTTTTTATTTTTCAACTTTTCGATTTTTCTTCCTTTCAATATTTAAAACTCGGATTTTTCGGCTTTTCAACTTTTCGAATGTCCGATTTCTTGATTTTTCGATTTTTTTACTTTTCAAATTCTCGATTTCACTTTTTCAATTTCTCAAGTTTCAGATTTTCCAATTTTTCGACTTCAATTTTCGGTTTTTGGATTTTCTTGATTTTTCAACTTTTCGACTTTTCAATGTTTGGAAATTCAGATTTTTCGAATTTTGGAATTTTTCTGTTTTTTGACTTTTCGAATTTTCGGTTTTTGGATGTTTCAATTTTACAATTTCTCGATTCAATTTGTCAATTTTTGACTTTTAGAGTTTTCTATTTTTGGATTTTTCGGCTTTTCGAGTTCTTGATTTTCCCAGTCATCTGATTTTCGAATTTTTTTGATTTTCCGACTTTTCGATTATTTAATTTTTCGATTTTTTTATCTTTCAACATTTTAAAACTCTGATTTGTTGATTTTTCGACTTCTTGATTTTTGGATTGTTCAATTTTTTCATTTTTAAACTTCTCGATTTTTCAAAATTTGGAAATTTAGATTTTTCGAGTTTTTTATTTTTAATTTTTCGATTTATTTACTTTTCGATTTCTCGGTTTTTGGATTACCTGATTATTTGACTTCTGGAGATATTGGAAAGATGGAAGAAATTTTCGGAGAAATAAAACAAACAAAAAAAAATCTGGAAATCGAAATAAACAAAAGAATCTCGGTTGATAATTTCCGAAGATGCAATGGACCCGGACCAAGATTTTCAAAATAGTCTGTTTCAAACTCAGATTTTTAAAATATCCCAAAAATTGCCTTATATCACTTTGGCGATTCTGGAAAAATGGTGGGAATATTCGAAAAAACAAAATAAGAAAAAAATCCGGAAACTAAACTACCAAGATTTTCCAAATTTTTTGTTTCAAATTCAAATCTTCAAAATAATCCAAAATTTGCCATGTTTCATTAATTTTGGAGATTCTGGAAAAATGGTAGGAGATTTTTGAAGAAATAAAATCCAAAAAAATTCTATCAAAATTAGGAAAATAATTGATGATGTTCGAAATATTTTGTTTCAAATTTATTTAGATTTTAGAGTATCCCAAAATTTGCCTTTTTCACTCATTTTGCATATTTTGAAATAATGAAAGAAATTTTCGAAGAAATAAAACCAAAAAAAAAAATTTTGAAATCAAAATCTGCAAGATATTGTTTCAAATTCAGATTTTCAAAATAGCCCAAAATTCGCCTTATTTAATTCATTTTTCTAGATCCTGGAAAAACTACTCTTAAAAAAAATCTCAAAATTGAAATCAACCGAATCTCTCCAAAATGTGCCCAAGATCATTTTAGTGATTCTGGAAAAATGGTGCATATATTTTCGAAGAAATAAAATCGAGGCAAATATAAACCCCGCCCATCCACCCCATCTCAATTGTGATGATTTTAACTTAAAACACGTTCAAAGTGGTAAATTTTTGCAAGTAAATAAGGATTTTGCAGTTAAGCTCCGTCCCCTTGGCTCACGACGAATAAAAAAATCATTACAATTGAGATAGGGTGGGTGGGCGGAGCTTATACTTTGCCTTTTTTCCTTAATACGTGTGGACTTATTTCGATAACAAGAAACTTAAAACATGTCTAAAATGGTAAATTTTTGTAGTAATCAAATAATAGACTAATAAAAATACCAAATGAAAGTAATTTCGTAATACCACTGTATTTGTCCACACTCTTATAACATCAAGGCACTCTAGTCTAACCCAGGGCAGAATATTGCACTTGTATTTTTGGTTGCATAATTTTGAAACTGACGAAAGTCGTGTTTTATCGGTCGAACGACTCGGCGAATTTTCTGCCACCAGTGAACACCCCCTCCCCTTCCGCCGTACAGCCCCGCCACGATAATTTATAACCCAACACGAGCATTTAAACCCTCTAATGCTCGTAAATCGCGTCATAAATCCCGTCCAACACTGTACGACATACTTCCTACTTTAAAGCAAGTGTGACGGGGTGAATTAACCGCCACAATATTAAGCAAGAGAGAAGTGGTGAGTTAGCGAAGTTGCCAGACGCTTTTCAACTTTTCAACAAGTTTCAACCCCCACAATTAATTAAAGAAGAAATCCTAGAAATTGACGATGATTGCGCAAACGTCTAGCAACCGTTACAGTGAGACTCTGATTGTATGCATTGTTGACGAACAATTCGTGTGGGCGATATTTCGCAAACTTAACATACTCTATATAGTGCATATAATCGGAGCCTTTGGCTTTAAAGTACGAAAATGCGGCCCTTGGACTCACTTTGAGCGTGATGATAGTTTCGCCCGAAATGTTATGCCCCCTTTCTTGAAGCCCCTAAAAATTAACTATTTGTGAGTACGACACTACGATAGCGGGATTTAAGGTGCGCAACAGGTTAGAGGGTGCGGCTACAGGTAAACACCTCCATGCTAAACACCAACTAGAAACAAAGACTGTTAAAAATCGGTCAAAGTCAAAGAAAAAACATCCAAAAAAAGTGTGAAGATTTGGTTGAGAGGTGGCCGACGAGCTCACCTTCACTGCTACGATCTCGGCGTAGCCCAGGGTGCCTCCACGAAGGGTCGTTACTGATCTTTTTAAACCCTGGAAGAGAAAATCTGCATAAACGGGGTCTGAGGCAAGAAAACCACACTCGCAGTTTCCAGAAAAAAACAAAATCAAGGCTAGCTAGTAAAATCGCGATCCCTCTCTCCTCGGATCGTACTTATAATCCCCTGATCGGTAAAAATCGTTTTTAATTTAGCGCGAAATCCCCCCAAAAAAACTTTTATTTTAGTTCTACAAGTTTCGATGTTTCACGGCGAAACTTTAAACGCAAAAACAAAATCAACAAACTTGTTTTCGTCTCTAAACTTGAAACATTCACGAGCAGAACTTCATTATTATACTACCTTCACGTCGTCGGAGAGAGGGAAAAACTCTACAGCTCTACCCAGACGCGAGGAAATTAAAATATCCCGTAACGTAAAAAAAGCAAACTTACCCTTCCAGGCAGCTAAAAGAGCGAAATTAAAAAGAAAACTCAATTAGTGTTTTTATGGATTAAGTTATTTCATTTTTAATAAAAATTAGTAAATAAGTCTTTTAACCTGGAATTTATTTACTCATTTTTTAGTAGGGTGCGTCCAGGGGTGTACTCACTTTGACCGCTTGGAAAACGTCGAAGCCGGGGTTGCCCACTTCGCCCTTTTGACCTTTGTCGCCGGGCCGGCCCTGAAACCACGCTCGACGGTAAAAACACTTCGGACGAGATTGGTACTTACGGGGTCTCCTTTCGGGCCGTCCAAACCGATCGGACCCTGTCGAAATGAACGATTTTTAAGTTTACGGGTCGAGGCGGTGAGGTTTAGTGGTTTAGTGTATGATGATGACGGTTAGAATGAAAAATGAAAGTTATTTACTACGGCACTAATATTAATTGGCTATTTCTAGGCTTGCTAATGCTAAAAGCTACACCATCTAACTACGGATACAGAACACGTCGAAGTTTGGACATCTGGACACGTGTTTTGTATTGGTGGGTGAAGCCGTGTTCCGGGGTCCGGTCTAGGCCCGCTACTTTTCGTGAACTTCGCCAACGACGTTAACACAATTTTCCATTAAGATTTTTTTAATTTTTCAACTTTTGAATTTTTTCTCTCTTCAATTGTTTGATATTTCCTTCAATTTTTTGATCTCCCAGCTTCTGATTTCTTCAATTTTTCAGTTTGCGATTTTTCTAAATTTCCAGTTCAAATTTTTAGTTTTGGAATTAGAATTTTCTGATTTTTAATTTTTTGTTTCAACTTTGATTTGCAACTTTTCGAGTTTCCAATGTAAATTTGTTCGGCTTTCCAAACTTTGAATTTTTATTTTCTCGGTTTGGAATTTTCGATTTGCAAAATTTCTAGTTTTCAATTTCGAATTTGTATGTTTTTTAAAGTTCGAATTTTTTAATTTCTAATTGTAATTTTCTCGATTTTTCAACTTTCGTATTTTTCGATGCTTCTTTTACATTTTGGAGTCTCCCGATTTTTAGTCTTTAAATTTTTTTTTGATTTTTTGACCTTCGAATATTTTTTATTTTTCATTATTCAGTTTTTAAATTCTTCAAATTTTCGATTTGAGTTTTTTATTTCGATTTGCATTTTCGAATTTTCAGTTGCAATTTTTTTCAATTTTTGTTTCTTAATTTTCTGTTTTTTCACTTTTTGGATTTTCAATTTTTCAAATTATTTTCAGCTTTATGATTTCTACAAATTTTCAAACTGCATTTTTCTAATTTTCAAGTCCAATTTTTTTTCAACTTTTGAATTTTTAGATTTTTAAATTTTTCACTTGTTCAAAGTTAGTAATTTTCAATTTTTCGATCTTCCAGTTTTTCTTCAATTTTTCAGTTTGTCATTTTTCCAGTTCTTCGATTTATTAACTCTTCGTTTCTCCAATTTTTAAATCATAAACTTTTTGAAATTCTAGATTTTTGTTTCTTCACTTTTTCGATTTTTCAAGTTTCAGTTTTAGACTTGTTGATTTTTTGATCTCTCAGTTTCTTCAATTTTGCGATTTGACAGATTTTCTAGTTTTCAATTTTGAATATTTAATTTTTCAAGTTTCAAATTTTTTCATTTTTAATTTTTGATTTGGTCGATTTTTCAACTTTGTATTTTTCGCTCCTTCTTTTCCATTTTGGAGTCCGGCGATTTTTCAGTTTTTCAAATTTTTGTATCTTCGACTTGTTGAATTTTCAAGTCAGTTTTTCAATTTACGAACTTTTTGATTGTTTATTTTTAATTTCTTCAATTTTAAGATTTTTTAACTTTTCGAGATCTCAGCTTCTACTTTTTTCAATTTTTCGATTTGCAATATTTCTAGTTTTTAATTCCGAATTTTTTAATTTTTCAGCTTTTGAAATTTTTGATCTCTCAGTTTTTGATTTCTTCAATTTTTCAGTTTGCGATTTTTCTAAATTTCCAGTTCAAATTTTTAGTTTTGGAATTTTTGAATTTTTTGATTTTCAATTTTGTTTCAACTTCTCGATTTTTAAAATTTTTCGATCCTCTTAAATTTTTTTTGTTTCTTTACTCCTTTGATTTGCAACTTTTAGAGTTTTCAATTTAAATTTTTTCGGCTTTCCAAACTTTGAATTTTTTATTTGCTTATCTTTCGTTTATTCAATTTTTGATTTTTCAAATTTTCCGAATTCGGTTTTTTGTTTTCAATTTCAATTTCTTTGATCTTTCAACTTTGGTTCTTTATTTTTTTTTTAATTTTTGGATTTTTAATTTTCAAATTTTCAGGTTTATAGTTTCTTCAATTTTTCAATTAGCATTTTTCGATTTGATTTTTCAATATTTCAATTTAATTTTTTTAATTTTTCAAACTTTTGACTTTTTTGATGTATTTATTTTTCGTTTCTTCAATTCTTAGATCTGTAATTTCTTGAGTTTTTAATTATTTAATTTTTTTATTTATTACTGCTTCGTTCTTCCAATTTTTAATCATAAATTTTTCTAGATTTGTTTCAACTTTTAGATTTTCAAGTTTCAATTGTTTGATTTTTTATTTCTTTTAACTTTAGATCTCTCAGTTTCTTTAATTTTTCGGTTTGCAAAATTTCTAATTTTCAATTACGAATTTTTGGATTTTTCAACTTTTGTATTTTTCGATGCTTTTTTTCCATTTGCCTTTTTCTCTCGATTTTTAGTTTTTTTAAATTTTTTTATTTATTAATTCTTCGTTTATTCAGTTTTTAAATTTTTCAAGTTTTTGATCTTCCATATTTATGTTTCTTCACTTTTTTAATTTAAATTTTTTGATTTTTTGACCTTTGAATTCTTTTATTTTTGAACTCTACCATATTTTTTGTTTTTCGTTTTTACAATTTTTAGAATTTTTGATTTACAAATTTTTGGATTTTCCGTTTTTTTGAGTCCTTGACTTTTTAATTTCCCGACTTTTTGATTTCTCAATTTTTCGACATTCCAAATTTTCGAGATTTGAATTTTTCGATTTCTCGACTTCGATTTTTCGACTATTTGACTTGTATTTTTGGATAAATCGATCCAATTTTTCAATTTTTCGACTTGCAATTTTACGATTTTCAATTTTTAGATTTCTGAATTTCACGATTTTTGGGTTATACAATTATATATATTTATACTTTTCGATTTTTCACTGTTTGGACTTTTAATTTTTCGACTTTTCAACTTTTCAAATGTCCAATTTCTTGATTTCTTGAATTCGATTTCACGATTTTTCGATTTCTCTATTTTTTGGCTGCAATTTTTGAATTTTTCCTTTCCGATTTTTCAACTTTTCAGTTTCTTCATTTCTCAAATTTTTTTAGTTCATTTTCTCTATTTTTGGGATTTCTGACTTTTCGATTTCAATTTTTGAATTTGTTGATTAATAAATTTTTTGATTTTCCGAATTCTCTAGTTCTGTATTTTTCAATTTCCCGATTTCTCGATTTTTTTGGTTGCGACTTTAGATTTTGTGATTTTTGAAATTTTCGATTTTTCAAATCTTCGAATGGCCAGTTTCTTGATCTCTCAAATTTTTGACTTTCAAAAAGAATCTCCCGATTTTCAGTCTTTTGACATTTTTTTTTATTAATTATTGGTTTCTTTACTTCTTTGATTGGCAATTCTTAATGTTTTCGATTAAAATTTTTTTATTTTTCGACCTTCGAATATTTTTTTTCTCCAGTTTTTCGATTCATTAACTCTTCGTTTCTCCAATTTTTAAATCAAAAATTTTTTGAAATTCTAGATGTTTGTTTCTTCACTTTTTCGATTTTTCAAGTTTCAATTTTAGATTTGTTGATTTTTTGATCTCCCAGTTTCTCCACTTTTGCGATTTGACAGATTTTTTAGTTTTCAATTTTGAATATTTAATTTTTCAAATTTCAAATTTTTTCCTTTTTAATTTTTGATTTGGTCGATTTTTCAACTTTATATTTTTCGCTCCTTCTTTTCCATTTTGGAGTCCGGTGATTTTTCAGTTTTTCATTTCTTCAGTTTTTTTCATTGTAATTTTTCTATTTTAAAATTTCAAGTGTGTGAATATTTTGATTTAAAAACGAATTTTTATTTTTTTTCACTTTCGCTTTCCTCGGTATTACGATTTCGCAATTTTTCGACGTTGAACTTTTCGATTTTTTTGTTTCAATTTTTCGAGTTCTTAATTTTTGAATTTTTTGATACATTAATGCTTCATTACTTCAATTTTTAAATCCTTAAAGTTTTCTTAAATGTTCAATTCTCCGATGTTCATTTTTCGATTTTTATTTCGGAATTTTCGAATATGTGGTTTTTTGATTCGTAATTTTTTGAGTTTTAAAATTTTTCAAATTATAGATTTTGCGTTTTTTCGAATTTTGGCTGTCATGATTTTTTAATTTTCATTTTTTTTTTATTTTCGGCTTTCCAATTTTTTATTTCGACAATTTTTCGACTTGCAGCTTCGAAAATTGAGTATAAAAGTTAAAAAAACGGAAAAAAATTTGAGAAATTGAAAAATCGAAATATTACAACGGAATTTTTTAATTTTCAAGTCCAATTTTTTTTTCAAATTTTGAATTTATTGATTTTTAAATTTTTCATTACTTCAAAGTTAGTAATTTTCAATTTTTCGATCTTCCAGTTTTTCTTCAATTTTTCAGTTTGTCATTTTTCCAGTTTTTCGATTCATTAAGTCTTCGTTTCTCCAATTTTTAAATCATACATTTTTTGAAATTCTAGATTTTTGTTTCTTCACTTTTCCGATTATTCAAGTTTCAATTTTAGATTTGTTGATTTTTTGATCTCTCAGTTTCTTCACTTTTGCGATTTGACAGATTTTTTAGTTTTCAATTTTGAATATTTAATTTTTCAAATTTCAAATTTTTTCATTTTTAATTTTTGATTTGGTCGATTTTTCAACTTTGTATTTTTCGCTCCTTCTTTTCCATTTTGGAGTCCGGCGATTTTTCAGCTTTTCATTTCTTCAGTTTTTAGATCTGTAATTTCTCGAGTTTTTAATTATCTAATTTTTTGATTTATTACTGCTTCGTCTTCCAATTTTTAAATCTTAAATTTTCCTAGATTTGTTTCTTCACTTTTTCGATTTGTTTTTTATTTTTTTTTATTTAATTTTGTTTCTCCAATTTTTACATTTTCAAGTTTTAATAGTTTGATTTTTAGTTTCTTTTAATTTTAGATTTGTTGATTTTCGATCACTCAGTTTCTTTAATTTTTCGGTTTGCAAAATTTCTAATTTTCAATTCCGAATTTTTAGATTTTTCAATTTTTGTATTTTTCGATGCTTCTTTTCCATTTGC